AACTGTCTTTGCATACTGAAAACAAACTTCAGGAAACACTCAGAAAAGGGGAGGCTGGGTTTTCACGTGGACAGTGAAAACACTACAGAAACATGAGGTGACCTACTTAGAACCTCTGTGAGATCTTATTAAAGAAAACATCTGTCTTTGCTCTTTCTGGCCTTGTGCTGCCAGCACCATGCCCCTGGGCTGGCGGGGTGGGAGCAGCCCCAGGAGCACACCTCTCCCACAGCACCTCTCCCTGCCAGCTCCTGCTGCCCGAAGCCAGGGCAAGGCTGCTCAGGGGGTTTTGGCCACAAAGGCAGCTTTGTGTTATGGAGATCTTGCCAATGCTGATCCGTATCCCAAGGGCAGGGGCGGGAGGGTCTGGTCAGTGGTGCCCAGAGACAGGACAAGGGGCAACGGGCACCAACTGGAACCCAGGAGGTTCTGTCTGAACAGGAGGAGAAACTTCTTTGGTGTGAGGGTGTCAGAGCCTGGAGCAGCTGCCCAGAGAGGCTGTGGAGTCTCCTGCTCTGGAGAGATTCCAAACCCACCTGGGTGTGATCCTGGGCACCCTGCTGTGGGTGACCTGCTGGAGCTGGGGGACTGGATGAGAGGATCCCCAGAGGTCCCTTCCAACCCCCACCATGCTGGGATTCTGTGATCCCAGGCTGGCGACAGACAGCCTGCATGATCCCCATGTGCCCAAGGGGAATCTCTGCCCATGGGCTTGACAGGCAGCAGCTCAGTGGCTCGAGTTGGGCCAGGACCAAGTGACATGCAGGAGAGACAGTGAAGGAAGGAGTGAGGTTGTCCCCAGGCAAGCCAGAGCACAGCCATCCTTCCCAGCTACACGCTGCTTGCCTCCTCCTCCTCAGCCTGAGCCACCACTCCACCCAGTCCCAGCACAGAACCCTTCAGAAACAGGGCAAATAATTCAGGGAGGAATTGGGCTGGCTGCAGGAGATGCTTAGGGAGGCGGCCAGGGACCATCACCTCCTCCTGATCTCAAGCCACGGCCCCTTTGGGGTGATGCACAGTGCTGCTGGAGCAGCCCTGGAACAACTGGATGGAAGGAGGCAGAGCTGGCAGAGCAGCGCTGCTGAGCACCCTTTGGGCAGGATACATCCATCCTTCCTCAGACCAGGCCTCCCGCAGCCCCACGTGGTAACATCCCCCAGCACCAGTGCTGTGAGGAACACCAGCAAGGTGCAATAAGTGTCTTTTGGGAGCCCTGTTGCCAAAGGTGCTAACCCCACTCTGCAGGCACAGCACCAGGATTAGAATTTGATTCCCTGTGGCATTAGGTGTAATCCTCCCGAGCTGGGGGATTGCTATACAGCCAGAAAGTGGGACAGGGAAGGGGGAACACACCAAGCTCTCCTCCTGCCCCTGGCCACCCCAGGCAGTGGCTCCTGGGGACATCCCAGCATCCCTGGGGCTGCTCAGGACAGCAGGGTCCCCTTCAGACACGCACTCGTGCTTGGCACCATCTGTTTCATTTTCTTACGAGCGCAGCAGTTGTCACCCCAATTAGTCAATTAATCATTTTCCAATCAACTAATTGGCTAATCAGTTAAACATGGCTCTGACTAAAGCCCCTGGAGATCGTTCTGGATGTGAGCAAGAAGCTTTTGGGGCAGCTTCTTCACAAAGCTACCCCATGGCAAACAGCTCAAGGGTATCTGGGGAAGCAAACAGGGGCTGCTGCCAGGGTAGGAATTTCCTCTGCATGTCCAGGAGGAAGGAACCACCTCCAGGCACTTGGGGCTTCAGCCCCTCAGCTCCATCCATACCCTCCCTGCAGGGTGCTGGCTTGCTTGGCACTCACCATCCTCATCCTCCGGCTCTCTCACCTCCAGCTTCTCGCTTTCCGAGTCCAGATCTTCCTCCTGGAAGAATTAAAACCAGAGCAGCCATGAGGAGAAGGTGCCGTGCTAAATAACCCATCCCCAGAGCACTGGAGCCCGCAGGGCAGGGAGGCAGGGACTGGAGCAAGAGCTGGGTACCCCTCCCTGCCCCCTTGGAGGAATAGGCCAAAAGGATTCCCACCTGCACAGCTGATCTCTGGAGCACAGACAGGAGCACAAACAACATCCTTATTTTATTTTTTTTTAAATGTAAAACAATTTTGGAAGCTTTGGGGGTTGCTTCCTACAAGCTACAACAAGCTTTATCAAGGCCAGATTCCTTCCCCTTGCAGAAGGTCAATCAAGCTGCAGGCAGGGAAGGGAGGGGAGCACTCCAGCCCTGGAGATAAGAGAGGAACGCGTGGCAGAGCCCCCGTGGACGTGCTTTCCTCCCACAAAGCACCCAACACCCCAGCTGCAAACCCCTGTGAGCCGAGCCCAGAGGTCAGCAGCACCCTGGAGCACAGGTCCTCCTGCACCCTGCCCAGCCCTGCGTGCCCCCTCCCAAGTAGTGGAGCTGGTGTGGAAAGGGCAAAGCACGTGGGAGAGGGGGGAAGGAGTATGGAGGGAGCTTGGTGAGCCCCCCACACTATCGAGGGGGAGATGGGAAAAGTTGGGGTGAAGGAGAATACTGCCTTGTGTGTGGCCAGCAGGCTGAAGGAGGTTCTGCTCCCCCTCTACTCTGCCTTGGTAGACAGACAAGGAACTACTGGAGAGAGCCCAGTGGAGGCTACGAAGATGCTGAGGGGCCTGGAGCATCTCTGTGAGGAGGAAAGTCTAAAAGCCCTGGGGCTGGTCAGCTGGAGAAGCCTGAGAGGGGATCTTGCCAATGCTGATCAGTATCCACAGGGTGGGGTCAAGAGGCTGGAACCAGACTCTTGTCAGTTGTGCCCAGCAACAGGACAAGGGGCACTGGGCACAAACTGGAATGTAGGAGGTTCCATCTGACCAGGAGGAGAAAATTCTCTGGTGTGAGGGTTCCAGAGCCCTGGAGCAGGCTGCCCAGAGAGGTTGTGGAGTCTCATCCTCTAGAGGGATTCCAAACCTACCCGGATGCCACCCTGGACACCCTGCTGTGGGTGACCTGCTGGAGCAGGAGGGTTGGAGGAGATGATCCCCAGAGGTCTCTTCCAACCCCTGCTGTGCTGGGATTCTGTGAGACCCGGGGGAAACGCAGATGATCCAGGAAGGAGCCTGGGCAGCACCAAGGGCTGGCTTTGCAGTGCCCAGCTTCAGATAAACTGCTGGAGCACGGGATGCAGCCCAGACCCAGAACTGGGTTAGCTTGTCATCGGTGAGGAATGTGCATTATTCACAGCCATTTGGCTTCCTCTTGCCACCCTGCTCTCGGGCTCCCCAGAAGCACATGCTGCCAAGCCCCCCTCCCCCTGCAGGCACTGCTGCTTTGGGCCAGGCTTCCAAAGAAGGGCCGTGCCCGCTGGCCACCGGGGATTTCCTGGGGGATGCCTGTGGGCAAAGAAACACCCAAAGGAGCAGCAGGGAGGGAATGCTCAGCCCCGGCCCCAGGAACTTGGCCATGAGCCCTGGGCAGCAGTTCACCATCACATCTGCCCAGCCCTGTGAGCCAAGATGCCCCCAGGGAGACCCGGCCCTCCAGAAGCTGGCACAAGAAGGGATGCTTTAGCCCATTCCCTGCAAGCTTTGCCCCCCAGCTCCCTCCCCATGGCCACTGCTGCCCTGGGACAAGGCCCCATGCACGCTGTGCTGCTCGCTGTGCCCCCTTCCCCAGGCCAGCTCTTCACCCCACCCACCTCTGCCTTGCTGGAAGGTGCTGCGTGGCCACTTCCATCCTCTGCTTGTCCCGTGTGCCCGAGGCTGGACCCAGGTGTGGCACCCAACGGTGGAATCTGGAAAGAGGCAAAAGCTTTGAGCACAAACACCCCTGGGCCCTCCCTGTGCTCAGCCCACCAGCACCAGCACACACAGATGAACTCCAGAGCCCACCTTGCCCCGTGCCCGAGGCCACGCTGCCTCTGATCCCTGTGCCAAGCCGTGGCACGGCTGCTGGGGTGAGGAACCCTGGAGACCTCCAATGCCCAGCCCTGGAGCCAGGGCTGGAGCCCCTGAGCCACCCTTTGCCCCAGCCCGTGGGACCAGGATCCTCACCAGGAGCCGTTGGTGAGGGGCAGCAGCTCGGGCTGGGGGCAGCTCCCCGGGATGCAGCTGCAGCAGATTGGGGCTGGCAGGAGGGAAGAGGAGAGGAAGAGCACAGCCTGCTCACTTCCTTAACGCCTGCAGGGCTTGGTCTGCCAGCCATCTACTCCAGAGCACGGCAACACCTCCTTGAGAGCCTCTCATCTCCCTGCTGCAACCCTGGAGCTGGGGCTTCCTCGTCCTCTCAGCCTCACATCAGCCTCGAGTGCAGGATGGCCTCGACTCCCTTCCTCCCCCAGCCCTTTCCCAGCACAAATGCTTCCCAGCTGAACCTTTCCTGGGAGGGAGTCTGTGGAGGAGGGTACACGTGGGCAGGGAGCAGGGACATCCTGTCTGTCCCTTGGCCTTGCAGTGAAATACCAGCAC